AGGGAGTGAGGAGATTTAGGTGGAAATAGTTGTTAGGTATTTGCAATGTTTCAGTAAGCATCAGAAAGTCTAGGTCTTTCTCAGTTAGTAACGTGGAAAGCACAGTAGCCTTATTCTTGAGTGACCGACAGTTAAACAGCGCTAATGCAGGATGTAACACGCAATCATTGCAAATGTGTAGATCAGTCAGAGACAGAGCACAGTATACAGTAATTAATGAGGTAAGATTTATACCACGGTGGTTAGCCGGCAGCATAGAGTAGCATATATAACAGGGGGAGGATTTGCCTGCAAGAGAAAACAGTCCAGTTAATGCATGAATTTCAGCACATTTCCCGTTCTATCCATTTCCATTCCATTCGTTGCGTTTAGCAGATAAGGTAAGTAGAAAAAGCCATGTTAAGCATCATTCTATATAGCAAAGGTATGTTCACTTACTCTCCACATGACGTTACATATACCACCACTGGCACTCACACCAGATTAACACAGCGCTGCCAGCATATGTACATACATGGCATTTTATACTGCAGAACATGCAATGCTGAAGCATGAATTCTATTACGAGCCAAAAGTAGCCTAAAATGAAATCCACTCTTTCTCTCTCGCTTGCTCAATCTCTCTGTCTGTCTTTTTGTGGGGCTTTCCACTTCCTCCGGATGGTCGACACGCAGATGCTATTAGTCAAGGGGAGCCGTGGTACTTTGCCCGACTCTGGGTCTGATAATCCTTCAGGCCCATCAACGAGCAGTGGAATGGCAGGGATCAAGAAAAAATAACCAACAGGAAGAGAGCAAAAAAATAAGGGAGGGAGGGGGTGTAGAGGGAAAATAGAGATGCTCCGTTTGTGATTATTGGAGAATGGAAGGAGAGAATGGAAATGAGCATGTGAATGATAATGAGACCATAATCCACATAGGCACCACACGCACATGGCACAGTTATGAAAACAAAACAGTGGCCGCATATATCTGTGGCTAGACTGCGCAATTCAACTTCCACAGTATATCATTCATGTTACTGTCAGTATTTTTCCATGGCTGTCTTTGTGAAAGCTATACATGTGTCTCTAGAAACTGCTTTCTTACACAAAAGCTCCTGACATGCAAAGTCACTCTAGTGCTTGAGATTTTATAGTTCATATTCATATTTTTCAGCTTGTTACAAATTTGTTAAGAAAAAGACTGTACCAAGTAAAATATTGTAACAAAAAAATATATATTTTTATGAAGAAAAATTGCAAAGAAAAAAAAGGATAGTTCACCCAATTATTCATCCATTCCACCAAAATTTTCATGCTTCAGAAATTTCATAAAGACATTGTAAAAGTAACCCATATGAACTGAGCGATTTAATCCCAGTTTAAGTCTACTGAAGAGACACAATTACTTTATATGATGAACAGATTTAATTTAGATTTATAAACATAGATCAACACATATACATAAAGCACACAAAATATGGCAAGAGGAAGCTCAAACGAGCTGGCTTGACACAAGAACTAATGAGGTTTCTCATGTGTAATGCAAGTGTAGCTGAGCTGCCATTGACCATCTTTGATGTGTTCTATGCATGTGCATTGATTGATGATTATACGTGAATAAAAGCAAAAAAAAGTTTTGTTTGAAAGATAAAGAGAAGTATTAGGCTACAGGTTAGGGTAATTGATAACAGAAGAATTTTAATTTTTGTGTAAATTATCCCTTTTAATGTTGAGCCACAGGGTACTTTGCTGTGGAACCTTCTAGTCCTACATAGATGCAGATGAAGTTGCAGGTCTGGAACCTACTCTATGCAACCACAAACACTTCTAGCAATATAAGCAGAACCCAAGGCATGACACAATGCAAGCATGCTTTGCATTCTCATAGTTACAACAATAGGTGCCATAGCAGAAATTAGCATCAATTTATTTTTTAGGTCAACTATTGTCTTGAGAAAATTTGTTTTATAGAGTTAGTTAAAAGTTAGTTTAAGAGTTAGTTAAAAGTTAGTTTTTCAACTCTAATGCCACCTTGAGTATTGAGGTTTGTTAACCCCACAGTGCCAGAGGAACGCATGTTGGTTACAAGGGGCATTTGCTTGCTAAGCGGCTGCATTTGTGTACTTAAATAAGTTTGTAGAGAGTTACTGATACTGTTATTGAGACTCGTGCTACTAGTTTTCTGAGCTGTGTGACGACAAGCAGAGGGATGAACTTATTCTACATATTCATGGGTGAGAAAAGAAAACACACATTGTAACACTATGATGGCATAAGTCCATGTCACACTCTGACATCCAGCCTGGGGAATGTCTTGGAGGAGTTTAGCTTTCTCTGACACAACACTCGCACACCACAGGCGATACTCAGCAGATAAAATATGCATACTCAGATGTACAATATGCAGAGATTTCACAATTAACTCTCCATCTAGAAAGAAAGCTTGAAGTGTGGCCATACAGGATTTATATGCATCTGTTTTAATTCTTAGTAAAATAAACTGACATTTTACCATGGAAAACAGCTTGGACTGGCTCAATGAATCCCTTTTGGACAGATCTGAAAGAAGTGATGCCATTTTATGCAGAACAACAATATCTAAGCATGTTCAGGAGTAACTCATCTAGTGCTTGGACAGGTATGTTAATATTTAATCAGAGGAATCATGCCCATTCAAACTATGGGGACAAATGCCCCCTCAGATTTTTGAGGCAAATGGATTTTGAAAGCAGCTTTCAATAAATAATATTTTATATTTGATAAAGTTTTGCGATTATTGTAATAATCTATAATAAAGACATAATATTTTAAAACATTCTTAATGTTTTAATAGTTTCACAGTCACAAAAAAAAAATATAACTACAATTGATTGAGCAGCAGTTTAACAATAAATGTAATGCGTATATGTTTCTCTGAAATCTGAGACATCCCAGTTAGTCAACCAATATGCATTTACATAATTTTTTTTTTACACACACTACAGTTCAAATGTTTGGTCAGTAAGCCTTTTTGCTGAAATTTTTTTTTTTAAATTTAGCAAGGAAGCATTAAATAGATTTAAAAAAATTTATATATCAATATATATCAATAGACAGTGACCATGTCAATTCTGAACGCGTCTCTCACTGACAAAGGAGTATACTTTAAAGGCTTGCGCGCACAATTGTTTGCGAAATGGAGCTTTGTGCTTATGTATCCCACCTCTCTCATTCGGCACAAATCCAAATATTCCATAATATTTCCTTATTTGTGACGTATCTGAATGCTAAACTATTATTTATTATTTAAATGATAGTCTTTGTACTTCAGTGACACAGAGGTGGGTGTGGCGCTGATGTTTGGTTCACTGCATTTTATTTTGATAAAGTACCAACTGCGCTGTCAAGTTAGCAATGCTGGAACTGATATGTTTTGTGTGTGTGTGTGCGCGATCACTTAAACGCTTTCCTTATACTAGCAGAATAATGCATCACTGTAAAAGGTCTACTTTTATTTGTGTACACTCAATGAAAACAAAACATTGTGCTTTTGTAAAATAAAGAACACAAATAGGATGCCATTTCTGCCATTTGAGTTTCCTTTCTGTGAACAAATTAAGCGTGTCAAAAAAATGAAACTCAGCATATATAGGCTACATTACGTGTTACACCGTTTTTTCCCTTGTTTATCTGTTAACTAAATCAAATCTATTTCAAGTATTTATTCCTCGTATGTAAACATGTACTGCAGATTTTATATATATAACAATATAATTTAATATAATATTTAGTATTTTCACATCTAGGTGGAAAAAAATGGTAATTTCTATTACTGTCTGTTCAAAATAAATAAAAAGAAACCTAGCATAGTAGTCTTGTTGTTTTTTTCTTGTTGTCCCGAAATCGTATCGAACCGTGACCCCTGAACCGAGGTATTTACCGAACCATGACATCTGTGTACCGTTACACCCCTAATATACAGTGTATATATATTATATTAAACATTTTATTAAATGTATATTTTTATATTTATTTTTTTCATCTTTGCCATCACAGAATAAATTACATTTTAAAATATATTAAAATTGAAAAGTTATTTTAAATTGTAATATTTCACAATACTACTGTTTTTATTGCAGCCTTATAGAGCATTGGTTCCCAACCCTGCACATTTTGCATGTCTCCTTTGTATGACACACCAGTTTCAGGTCTTGGGAGTATCTACTAATGAGCTGATGACCTGAATCAGGTGTGTTTGAATAAGGAGACATGCAAAACGTGCAGTGTTGGGGTGCCTTAAGGACCAGGGTTGGGAACCACTGTTATAGAGCATAAGAGACTTCTTTCAAAAAATCTTATCGACCCCAAATTTTTAAACTGTAGTGTATAAAAACACACATACATTGGGTTTACTTGATTTTAAACAATACTGATGGCACTTTAAATGTTGTGGTACCTAAACTCCAAACATATGGTCTGCACAGAAACTAAAATTAGAGCTTGTCAATAGCATTGACTGGAATCCCACTTAAACGTTCCTCTATAGACCTTTAATTGTGGGATTAATTGCTCTAAATGATTTTAACATGGAACAAAACAACACATTAGCAGATAAAAAGCTTGGCATCGACCTGACAATAACTGACATTCGAAAAGGAAAAAAGATGAATATATAATACACAATCCAATATGCTAAGACAATTAAAGGAATGCGGGACAGGAAAACCACAAAGAAATGCAGTAACAAAACAGAGGCACTCTTGAGACACTAAGGTGATGACAAACACCACGTCCATTATTGTCGATGAAAGACAGACACTAATGAGCAAAAATATCCATTGGAAGACCACAATTTCCACACAACCAGTGAAAGAGGTATGCCTGAGTCATCAAGATAAACAAAATTGTGACAGAGCACACCAGTCACGAGTCTAAAGGAGGAACCCAATTTAATAACATCAAGATGCAGAAAAGCCAATGAGCCAATGATCAAAGAATGTCTAAACGCGGAGCTGCTCCTTTCTCTGCTCTAACTTACCTTATCAAATGACACAGAGGGCCAAAGAGAAAACCTCTCCCCCGGCCCGTTCACTTTGGCCATGCTCATAGTGGGGCTCTTCTTCACACTGTCACGTAGATTGAGAAACTTAGTCCTGGTCTTTCCTATGTTTAATGGCAGGGTGCAAGAGTTGTAGCAGATAGTGTGGATGGAGCCCTCCTGGGTCACCATCTGCTGGAGATGCTTTTGCTTGAGGATGGAGGTGGACGGCGGGTTCTGCCTGAGGTTGACCTGCACATGAGAGGCGTTCTTCCTCTCACAGCTGTCTGCTCTCCGGCATCCATACTCATGGCCGGAGTAGAAGGTCGTCATGGTCGGCACGTGAGCTAAATGTGAGGAGACGGCGTTGAATTTTAGGACAACCAGGTCGATGGTGAGAAGGCTGCTGTATTTTGGTGCAGTGCCTTGGCAACAAACAAACGGAGGGAAATTCAGCCTGGGCTCTCACGCGTTTGTGTGCACGATGATCCTCTTGCGCTCTCTGTATCGCTCTCATTCACCCATCCTTTCATCTCTGCATTCTCATGCCAATTAGAGAGCACCAATGAGCAAAGGCATCAGGCACGGAGTGGCTTTTTCCTGGCATGAATAATCAATGCTGAGCTCCGATTCACATACAAAGCCAGCCTGCTGAAACAGCGCCAACACACAGAGCAACTGTAACCTAGTGAGAGGGGGATCCATATAGTAAACAGCTCCTCACCTACATAATTAATAATATCTGACCTCCCTGCGTTCCTTTAGTCAGCATGACGTTTAAGGGGGATCTTTTCTGTGTTGTTGTGTGAGATCATAGTCAGGTTGACTTAGATATTATATATAAATTAATTAAAGGGGTCATATGATGCTGCTAAAAATAACATTATTTTGTGTATTTGGTGTAATGAAATGTGTTTATGCGGTTTAAGGTTAAAAAAACACATTATTTTCCACATACTCTACATTATTGTTTCTCCTCTATGCCCCGCCTTTCTGAAACACGTCGATTTTTACAAAGCTTATCGGTCTGAAAAAGTGAGGTGTGCTCTGATTGGCCAGCTATCCAGTGCGTTGTGATTGGCCGAATTCCTCAAGCGTGTGACGGAAATGTTACGTCCCTTACCATATCGTGATGCCTGTGGCAACCACATGTGACGACCTGGACTCCGCTTCGTCCACGGTGAAAGCCGATCCGGTGATCGACAGCGCGAAGTTTAAGTATTTCCTCAGCGACCAGCACGGATCAGCTCCAGGCATGACGAAGCGATATCGTCCTCTTTTAGAAGGCCAAACAAAGTAGTTTTGCTTTCACAACGAAGCACACCGCGCCTTCACGACATGGTGGCAGCAACAATACTACTGCGAGAATAAAACATTTGGGCGGCGTTATGCAAATCTTCCCAGATAGTGATGTAGATATGTGGGGGCATGTTAGAACGAGCCGTTTTAGGTAGGTGTGGCTGACTCTTAACTTTTATAAAGAATATCTCTTTGGATTTGAGACTTTAGTCTTTGCAACTTTACAGATCTTCTCTATGCACCAAGAGCTTGTAACACTCCAAAGAGAAAGGAAAAATTGAAATCGCATCATATGACCCCTTTAAGCTGAATAGATTTTGATGTTTGAAATTCATTTTTGTTCAATTGGGGTCACTCAATAAGAAAATAATTCATATAAAGCGCCACACAAACTAATGCATATTGCATATGACCACTTTTGTGACAGATGGCTTGTCATAGTGTACAGATGCAAAGGATCTTTCCTTTGCGAATATTATGAATAGATAAATGGCCTAGAATAGCTGCGTTGACATTACAACTCATGGTTATTGCATTGGAGGCTGATTTTATAAGTGGATTTGAATTGATGAGTGTGAGTGCACCAAGCTGTTAACAACCACTGCTTCAGCATTTAGAGTAGTATGTATGTCAGCGGGGATGAACTTTAATACAATGAGCAGGTTAAAGTGTATTTTAATAATGTAAAATTACAGTGCCAAGCACAAAGCATTAGATTTCAGAACGAAGACGAGAGAATCAGTCTATTCATTCATAATTTGAAAAGTGCTGCTTTTAACCCTTTGAATGCTTCAAAAATATATTATAATAATAGTAAGATGGTAATATTAATAATAATTCTGTGGCTCTTTGTAGACCACGTTTTATCCAACTTCTGGATATTTCAGGTGAATCTGAGAGGTTTTAATCCAAAACTGCAAAGATGTAGTCAGGATTTGGATCAACTGTACAGCACGCCGTTTCACCTCAAGAAACAATGCAGTTCTAGTGCCATCTACTGGCTATACAACCAACAAAATGTTCTTGGATAATTTTGCTTTGATGATCACAACTATCTAAAGATAATACCAACACCTGTACATTTTAAATGGAACATACAAGGTATAGAAAGTATACAGTTTCCCATATGTTAGGATCATGATTTTGTTAGGAATCACTTCTGATGACATAGCACTAGGGTGAACCATCACCAAGATATATCTGGGTTATATAAAAATAAAAATCAATCAATCAGTTTAGCTTAAAAATCAAACCTATTTTAGAAACATACTTTTTTTATATTGCAACTTTATAATACAGTAATGAAACTCATTGTGTCTGAGCAATGATTTTTACTTTTATATAAATACTTTAAACATGATACTGTTATTTCTATGAAGAATTACTTAAAAATAAAATGTTTTTGATTGACAGTAATGACAATTAGATTTTATGTCACAATGCAACAAATCTTTTATTTTTTTACTTATATTACTACTACTGTTGCTGCTACTACTATTATAGCGAGAGTCACAAGTCAATTTTATTTGTAAAGCGTTTTTTCACAATACACAGTTTCAAAGTTGTTTTATAGTTAGGCAAAGATAAAAAATAATAAAGCAATTGAGATTTGCTATATTGAGTGTTTATTGTTTTATATGCGTGTGCTGTATGTATGCAGATAAATTGGACATACTTGTAGTTGTATGTTGGTAAGATATTTGTTCATGTGTTATATCGCCATATGAGGGATTACGAAATCTTCTGTTCAATTTATAACAATTTCTTGTAGTGACAATCCTAATAATTATTTGATGATGATGTGTATCACTGTCACAGTTAATAATACACATATAAATAACAACATTTAAGATTCTGGTCATATTGTCCACCCCAAAGAAGTTTAACTGGAAAGTTTTTGGAAATTAATCAATTACTTGAAGGCCATGCCATAATATTTACACATGCACGTATGTTTTAGAGACTTATCTGTTTCTTTTAGACTGTATAAGGGGGATTCGACTGCTCATTTATCTCTCTGACCTTCAGCTGAACTGCTGCTATTATATCAAGTCATATTCAGCTGACTACAATTACGAAGGTACAAGAGTTTGGGCAAGAAATTCTGCTATCACATGTAGTGGCATTATCTGGTTATATTAGCATATGCGCTGATCACACAATATAAGGTAAAGCTGACTGATTAAAAACAATTATTAGGATAACTAATAATACAGTCTGTCATCTGACAACTAACTTTCTCCGCTGCAACCATCAGTGCTGCAAAGTGGAGCCTCATTTGGTTCAAAGTCACTGTTAAACCACAGAGCTTGGACTTGAATCCATGCAATGAAACTAAGAAGTTTTAATAACAACGATATTTTGATATTGAAGTATTTTTAAGATTTTTTTTAGATTTAAAAATATTATGCAAAACACAAAAACTGCTAGCTCAACTGTAACAGCCATGACTGAAAACCGTAGACTGGCAGTAAACCCTGAAATGCACATGCGTAGCAAGCAAGTTTATTTGACAGACAGAACTTGTAATTGCCACATATGAGTTGAAAGCTAACATTATGACTTGAAGTCTGTGTCCCATGGCACCTCTGCATGAGCCTGCAGAACTTACCTGACTTGTCCTTGATACGATGCAATCAGTGAAGGTATTGAGCCGGGTGAAGGTAGCGAGAACACGGCGCCAACGGGACGGCGTCTGTTTTGCAGTCTCCTCAGAGGAACTACGTATGGACCACTGTCTGAGCTTAGGTCCAGATGAGCCACCATGGGCCGAACTGGTGCTGCTGCCTCGACTTCCCCTGGAGTACAGGGTGTTTCCACTGAAGATGTAGTTCATCACTGCAAATGCACTATAAATGCACGCCAGTCACTTCTCAGGAGCGTGTTGATGACAAAGACAGGAAAACAAATCTAATAACATCTAAGTCAAAGTCTAAGAGCTTTTCCAAACAACTTCCTTAATTATGAGCGTGGCTTCCTGTGCCAGACATATCAGGGGATTTCATCAGGACATAGCTTCAAGTGTGCTGTGAAGTCATGACCCTAGATACTCCATTCCGCCCAAGACTTACTCCGTGACACAGCAACAACCATCCAACACTGCTTCGATTCAGACGCACCAGAGAGAATTAAGTAAAGAGAAGAAAGAAAAATATTCTACACAAAGCTAGCTGCTATTTTTAGCCTCAAGATGCTGGGTATACAAACTCAAAAATGCCGATCAGTCGCTGGACAAATTACGAGTTGGCACTACTTTGTTCCACTGATGCCATCTGTGCAATTCAAAGAGCGTCCAAGACAGTAAATTTAAAGGCCATCATATAATTAACAGCTGCCTGTCCAAGTCCAATTGGGAATGTCACTCTGCCCAACCAACAATGCTTCCGAGTGTCAAAAAATGATGCCAAGTGAAAACTGGACCCAATCATGCTTCATTCTACAATGACATTCAATCTTCAGTCTTCCAAGAAGGCTTTCCCAGATTATCAAATGTGTAGAAGTTTTTGTCAATAACTGAAAAAACACAAAGGTATGAAGTATTCTCCAGGTCCGGATTACCATTTGGTGTGGATGCAGTGCCCAACCTTTAACAGTGGCACTCAGAAGATACCTCTTCCATACAACAGTTTCGTAGATGTGCCACAGGTGCCGGATGAGTTGACTCATTTTGTCACCAGGCTCTGCCTCCACACCCTTGGGAGCTTAAAGCCATGGCAACTGCTCGCACATCTAAGAGAGCCAGCAGGATTTCCCGTGCAGGCTCCGGTCCCCTGTCTTGCACCAGAAGCCACAGTAAACACGCTCTTCTGCTTCATCTGTTGACATATTCATTAGTGCACTTGAGCCTACAGCAGGGACTGGATGGTATGAAAACATCATCATTTGCATGTCAACACCACGCTGGCTCGAGCACTGTGATAGTCGTGCATGCCTCCATGTAATCAGATAAAGCCCTTTGCACATAAACACCAGTGAATTAAACTGAAGAATTGGCTTGTCAGGATTAGCTGACTAAGGATTGGCTTGTTTAGCTTTAACTATTGATCAAGAGGGTAAGATGGCATCCCAAACAACAATGCTAAAGCTCCTCCCTCTGAAAAGATTGCCAATAGATATGGCAGGACATCAATAATACATACCAAATTACCTCTGAATACACAGTGTGCATGTCTAATAAGATGCCAGCAAAACCATTTAGAGCCGCCTCTCAGAACCAAGCCTGTCACCTTGCTAATTGACATTTAAACCAGCACGATGCAGCACTGAGCAGCATGGAAAATCCACATCAGTAGTAATAACAAATGGATCAGACCAGGGTAACATGTTAAGATGTGGTGAAACGGTAACAGCTACTGCACGAAGGTACCTACTGACTTTTTCTACAGCAACAATGGGCAACTAACATTGGATATCAGTTTTCAAATCTTCCATAGGCCACACAATGGAACACAAATTAGGCTGGCTATTGACAGGGCCAGACTGCTGGTCAGCTTCTCAATAGATGTTGAAAGCAGGGTCAGGATACATAGATGTTGTCTTAGCTATTCCTGTCACCACCTTTTCTCTTGATTCTGTGTCTGATAAAAGTCTGTTCTGTTCGGGAAACATGAAAGAACTGCTGCTAATTACAACCTTGCCCACAACTGTGACCCATGAAATTTCTTTTATCAAAAGAGAAACTCAATCCATAATTAACAAGTTCCCAACTCAAATAAATGCATTGTCTAATGTAGGTCCTTGAAGTAATGTAGGTCCTTGAAGAGCTGAAATATATGGAAGAGCAATGTGACAATATAATTTTATCTGCTTATAAATGTTTTAATTAAATTTGTAGGTCTTTTTTTTCATTTGAGATCACCTAAGATAACCTGGAGATCACCTGAGTGTACATTGTTATATATATATATATATATATATATATATATATATATATATATATACAGTGGGTGCGGAGAGTATTCAGACC